GAGATTAGTATTGATTGGAGATGTTCCGAATTGCAGACACTCGAAAAATAGTCAGTTTTAGGTAAAAATAGTCATTTTACCTAACACCATATTTCAAATAAAACTGTCACGAATGAAATGCATATCTAATCGGAAATATCCTATTTTTGAGTTCTATGGGTTGCACCAATCTATCCGATCTATTTTAGACTTCGAATTTTAAACTTGGCCAACAATCGATTTCGTGCAATACCGTTGCTCAAATCCGTTCCGGAAGGTACAGAATCTGATGATGATGAAGAAGAACTAGCCACTCCTCGACAATTATCTCCAGCACAAAAGGAACGATCACTGACGAGACCGGCGAACCACATAATATATGAGACGGACGGTTCCGTTGAAGAGGAACAGGCTATTAAACCTCACCCGGAGTCGCAGTAAGCTGGGTCACGTGACAAAATGTTATTCAAATTGAGTGATCATATTCCTAGTTGTGAACAGGATCCATATTTCAAGAAACAATTTTTTGATATTGTTCTCCTCCTGGAACGTGTTGTTTTCCTGTCAGATTCGATCAGGATCACAGCAAATCATTTATTCATAAAATTCGGTGCTCATTCAAATCTGATACTGTATTGTATGCCCATCTTGTTTTACACTGTTCCCAACGTCACCAGATTAGAAGATAACGGTCAAAGTTTGATCAGACGGTCACCTTCCAAGGTTCATCCGTTCGCATTATTCATCGATTCGTCGGCTTGTGGCTACTCGCTTTTCTCACCTATCCATTTTTCATATTGTTCTGAAATTACGTTTTTAGAAACAGTTATACAATCGTGTGTTCGTTCGCAATCATTTTTCCCATCGCTTGATCGAATGTGCTCTCCGACAGAACCGGGGTATACACTGTCTGAGGAGCGGTGATTTTTAAAACTGCAATAAGTCAAAATCATCAGGCTATGAAAACTTCCCAATGTGCAGTTTCAATTTCGCAATTTTCATACCACGATGAATCGTCAAATGGGTGTGTTTCACAACTATCTTATCTACAAGACTGGCAGGAGCATGCATGCACTCACCCTCTGTGATGATCAGCTGGAAGTCGTTGAGAGCTTCAAGTACTTCGGGAGCTTGATCACTGCTGTAGGTGGTATTGAGGAGGAGATCACATCATGTATAGCGAAAGCCAGGGCAGCTTTCGCCAACCTGCGACACTTGTGGAGCCGCCATAACATTCGACTGTCCATTAAGGGAAGGATGTACATCGCCGCGGTTCGTAGCCATATACTTTACGATTGCGAGACCTGGCCCTTCCGAGTTTAGGATGCTAATCGACTTTCTATATTCGACCACCGATGTCTCCTAAGCATTGCCCGTGTCTGGTGGGAACATGAGGTGAGCAATGACGAGGTTAATCATCGTGTGTTGGGTGCGGATAGTAGATCTCTAACAGAAGTAACCGCTTCACATCGACTCCGATGGCATGGTCACATTTTGCGTATGCTTCTCAACTGACTATCTTTCCGTGCTCTATTTCGATGTGCCGGGCAAGGCTGGCAAAAGCGCCGCGGAGATTAGATCATGACATGACGTAGAGGTATGAAGAAGCTGGCCTCAGCTTTGGCTTCGGTTGATGCAGCCTGCCTTCCAGATTGGGGCCCAAGGGATGAGGATTGTTGTTGGTTAGAGACGTTGANGAGATATGGTCGATAATAGAAGTCAGTGGCGCGAATACTGTACGGTCTGTCTGTTGATATCCCATGTCCCCCCCCCCGCTTTTCAAGAAAATGATAAATTAACACAAAAAATATCAAAGGGTATACAGTGAAACAAACAAAACCAATTGTTCTCGTTTTACGATATGACCCCCTTTTACACTGATTTGTATCCCAACATCCCCATTTTCTGTTATTCTTGTATTGCGTTGACACCAAGTATGCTTGCAAGCCGGTGATATATATAATATATTGTGTGTGTGTCAGACAAGCCGTGATACAAGATTCTTTGTAAGAAACAAATCGGTTCATAGTTTTCTGTTGAGTGCAACTCTGTCAGATTGGTCAAACTGCTACAAGCAATTTTCTGGCTAATTCACAACTGAACCAATTGTCAACCGATGCATGCCTCAGAAGGCATGAAAGGCCGGGTGCCAAAATTGTAGTCCACTGACTGTTCAAAATGTTTACGAGGCATTTCTTTCATTTCCGATGGTAATCACACTCTGTTGGCTAATAGGTTAGGTAGCCGTGACGGCCAGAATGTTCTGCGGTCAGTATACCCACCGTTTTAGTTTGACGCTGGCAATCACGATTTGTCAGGCTACCGTAAAGAATCAGGCCTGCATGTACGGTGGTTATCTGAGGTTGAGCCATTGATAACTGGAACTTTTGGTGTGTGTACTTTCTGGCACATTTTCGATTTACGCATACACACACATATATATATGTATACACATAGAGGTAAATACATATCATAGATACATCACTGCTCAGCCATAAGCGGGGATTTCTGGTTTCTTGGAACAGTGAGGCAGTTGATTCACGGTTACAAGGATTTCGTCTTGCCCAGAGTTAATGAGAAAGCTCAGAGTGAAATTACCATCATCAGTGATTTTGATATCTCTAAAATTGCTCTTTGATTCTACTACCATCATTAGTACGCTGCCTTACTATTTTCACAATATTACATATAATAGTCGAAATTGTAGTTCCAGTGTACAACAATTGGATTAGTCATTCCTATTGAATCAGGCAGCGTTTGGTTTGTCTCTCATTTTTTCTCATTCTCATCCAGTTCCATTCATATAAACGGGAAGAAAATGGATCTCAGTTTCACATCTTCATTCAAGTCACTTGGTCAGGACGGAACAATAGTCTGTCCACCCGACCCGGTCACAACAGAAAGAACAAACTTCATCAGTGAAAATCCGGTTATGGGGCAAGATGAGACAGTTGTACGAGGAAGACGAAAACCCAGAAAATCGGGTAAGACTCAGTTCCTGTATCACTGTACGTATAATCTGATTTCCATCTGGGGTTACTGACGCTAATAGACGATAAATTATATGTAACAAGGATTCAATCAAGCTAAACAAATGATTGTTAATAATGCATGATCATTGGATCAGTTTTGATCTCGCAAGATCTGAGATATGCCTATGTTTTTGAGCAGAGTTGCGCACCATATTGCATAGATCCGACGGGGTGATGTTATCTGGGGACTGATTTTGCTCCGGTTCTACCTGTTAGCAGTCAATTGGTCAGTATGGGATAAGTAAGACAAATAAGACATAGTTTGTTTACCAAGACCCTCTGTTCCAGACACGCAGTTCTTTTGGCCAGTCGACTTTTGTCGAACGACCTCGTTGATGGGAAACACAACAGTACAGTAACCTATTCTGTAAGCATCACGATTGATGAACAGCATATGCGATCGTAGGTTTGCGGCAACTTCTTCATATCTGTGACTTTGTTCTGGGGGGCAGCCTAGAATCGGGCAAAGTTCCCCTTGTGCGTGAGATGAATTATTTCATTGTTTGTTTAGTGGAATCTTATTTGAAATGTCCAGGTGATGGTGCACTGCAAGCAAGAATACTGTGCCGGGAAGGAGAATTGTCATGGAAGTTTCATTCGGTGCTTTAAAATAATTCTGTGGATTTCGATTACGAAAGAAATAACTGCATTTAAAAATAACACTGAGCCTGTTTGCTAGTCAGCTTGCTATTCGATATGCAACTGCAAAATTCAGTGAACAAAATGAAGACGACTGGGTTGCGCAATCTATGCGAAATTGATCTATTCCATCCGTGCCCATACCTCTATCTGTGTGCAATTTATTGCAGTTTATTATTTTTCTATCTGTACTGGTACATCAGGAATTCTCGTACACCAAATATTCAGTTTCACTGCTGCAGATAACCAGGTCATTAGTGTAGAGTTCTGCGTAGCCTGAACCCCCCGCTCTGGTGCACAAACGCACATACACACACACACATACACAGTTTCCCGCCGAGCAATGCACGCGTGTGAGCATTTACCGGGTTGAATGCGACGTAAACAGCAGTAAGATGTTCTGGGTGCAGCCTAGTTTTGGCGTGATTGACCCAGCCAATCAATACTGTACCAGAGATGGATTCAGCCTATACAGAAATCTACGAGACTGATCAATAATTCCTAATACATCTGTACTGTTGATTGTGTTCACTCAGTTTTCGGTTTCAGTTTTTACGACCGTTAACCGTGCACTTTCGTGCGCCGGTTTTGGTTGTTGTCTTTTGGTCGGCTATTTGAAAAAAGAGCAGAATAAAGATCGAAAAGTTGAAAGCAAATTCAAGCGGAGGATAGATAATTCATATCGACTGGCTTTACAAGAATAATAAGTAGATGCATGGGCACCACTGTTTGCGACACCCAGCCATATCGCTCAGTGTCTCTAACCATCGGTGACCAGGGTCTCAGGGTCCCCATTCAGGGAGCCTAACGGAACCTATGTGACCCAGTCGCCTGCCTGGGGTTTTCACACCCTCGCGCCAGGTCTTCGTTTGACCACCCTTGACGTTTTTCCAGTCACTATCTGCCTTAACAAATATCGCTCGCCGTGACAACCTATTTGGTGACATGCGTAACATGCCCCAACCAGCGTAATATATGAAGGTCGACCACTACTTGCTCTAGTGGACTATCGAAGATGGCTACCCTAGTACTCAAACTATCCAGAAAAGCTTGTAACTTACTTGGATCTTCACTTAGTAGCACAATGTCGTCTGTATACTCTAGATCAGACAGTCTGCCACCCGGAATTAAATCGATACCGATAGCC